GAGGGACAGAGCAGCAGGTGCAGCTGTTTGGGGACCATGCTTTCAGGGGACATCTAGGTTAACTGGCATAACAAAATTTATTAAGAAAATGTTCTGCATCCTACTTTGGTGAGTGGCATCTGGGGTCTTAAACGCTAGTGAGGGGCCCTCTAAGATGCATCAACTGGTCCCAACCTACCTGGAGTAAAGGAGAATGAAGAACACCAAAGTCAAAAGGAAAGCATTAGCCCAAGATACAGAAAGGGCGACATAAACCAGAGACTCCATCAGCCTGAGACCAGAAGAACTAGATGGTACACCAATGACCGCCCTGACAGAGAACACAACAGAGAGTCCCTGATGGAGCAGGAGAAAAGTGGGGTGCAGAACTCAAATTCTAGAAAAAGACCAGACTTAATGGTCTGACTGAGACTGGAGGAACCCCAGAAAGCATGGCCTCCCCGGACTCTCTGTCAACCCAGCACTAAAACCATTCCCAAGGCCAACTCTTCTGTCAAAGATTAGATTGGACTATGGGACATAAAATGATACTTGCAAAGAGTGTGCTTCTTAGCTCCGGTAGATACATGAGACTAAATGGGCAGCTTCTGTCCGGAGGTGAGATGAGAAGGCAGAGAGGGTCAGGAGCTGGTTGAATGGACATGGGAGATCAGGGATGGAAAGGAGGAGTGTGCTGTCACAGTACAGGGAGTGCAGTTAGGGTCACATAACAATGTATGTATAAATTTTTGTATGAAAGACTAACTTGAATTGTAAACTTTCACTTAAAGTACAATAAAATAAATAAAATAATAAGATGACAGCCAAGAAAACCCTATGCAGCACTTCTACTTTGTAACACATGGGGTCTCCATAAGTAGGAATCGACTTGACAGCAACTAACAACTCTATAGTCACGTTCCCCAAGCTCAGTGTTTAGGGAGCAGTGTTTGGATCAGGGCTGAAAGACACCCTTCAGAGCCAGTAACTTTAGAATGGAGTTTGAGGTGATAAAACCTTGTAAAAAAAGCCAAACAAACAGTAGAATACCCCGGGCTGCTAATTTATAAGAAAGCCCTCTGCAAACTACTAGAGATAACGCTGAGAAACAAAAAAAGTAGCTAAAAGCAAAACTCTGCCCCCGGTGGTGGGAGACAGATGCGCTCGGACAGCTCACCGCCCTTTACATTTATTTATTCCTTTAAGAAGGCGCACCTGGGATTGTGCAAGGTCCTCAGGGCCAGAGCTTCCTGTACATGTTTTTCTGTTGCCGAGTAACAAACGACCAGCGTGGCTCAACTAGGTCCTCCGCTCAAGGTCTCCTGGGGCCAAAATCAAGGAGAAGAGGACACCCTCTAGCCGTGTCCCCTGTGAGCCACAACTTCCTTTATGACCTCACCTCAGAAGTAACACTCCATCATTTCCACAATATCCTACTGGTTACACAGGTCAGCCCTAGTCAACGTGGG